CGCCAACGCGCGCGGCGCTCTTTTCGGCGAGGTGAGTTCGCCAGCCGGGGGGAGATGGAGCACCTCTTGTCTGCGGACACTTGGCGCCCCTTTCGCTGCCCAGACGCCGGAACGCGGGAACTCCGGATCCTTTCTCGGCGAGATCTCCGGGGGCTGTGCTAGAAATTAAAGGGGGGTGGGGAGAGGACTTAGTAGCCTGTGCCGCGCTGGGAAGACGTCTCAACGCCGGGGGTCCGGGGTCTCTTATCCATCCCACCCTATTTTTTTCTTCGTCGAATAAGGCTGGTGATAGCGGGACATCTTTTTCCTCTTCGGCGTTTGGGTAGCTGCGTTTCCTCCCTCTCAAGACGGGGGGCGGGGGGCCGAGGGAGGAGGAAACCTGGCTCCTTTGGACTGCCTTTGCCAAATCTTGCTCCCGCTGCCTAGTTGTTCTGGGCTCAGGAAGTCGTTTCCGTCAGCGCGTTGAGTGGTGCCTCTTGTGTCCTCCTAACACGCCACAATTAGCGAACCGTTAGTTTTCCAGAAGAAATGTCTCCCCGCTGCTTGTTGTTGCTGAGTTTGGGCAGACTTCCAGCGGAGCCGGCCCTAGCTCCCTTGAGGAAAAGTTTCAACAACAACCAGTCCCCATAGTTAACTTCTTCTAGACTCTCCTTTCAGCGAGGAAAGGAAACGGCGGGGAGGGCGAGGGTGACGGCCGCCTCTTTGCTCAGACTCGGGACAATGCGGAGCGGCGCGGGACGTTTCCCGCCGCTGCTCACGCGCTTTTTCAGGCAGAAGAGATGGAGGCAGAAGCTAAAGACGAAAGTGCTGGTTTCAGGGCTGGCTACCGCAGTGGCTTAGAAGGGGATAGGACGGAGTAGAAAAGTTGCAGTGCGTATTTTCAGTTTGGGGCCGGCGGATTTATAGTTAGGTCAATATGGCGCCCTCCTGATGTAGCCTCCTTACCCCGTGTGGCCCTGACGGCTGGGGATGATGGGAGAGGTACTCCAACATCTGAGAATGTCAGACGGTTACAGGATCTAATAGAATGATGAATTATAAGGCGTTCCTCTCAGATGTTTTCCACCCACATCTCTCTGGGAAAAGAGCGACCTAAAAATAAATATTATTATATGAAAATATACATGCCACCAACTCACATTGGCTAGGAGTTATCACTTCTCCTATTATAATAGGGGAAGAAAAAAATGGCATTATTAAGTTAATCAGCTCTCACATCCCCAGCACTGAAGTGAAACAGAAATAGGGAAATACTAACTTGCCAATGGAAAACCTTTGGATTCTGGTTTCCCTCATCCTCAGCTAATGTGGTCATTGTTTGGGGATTATGGGAACTGGAGTCCAATAACATCTCAAAGCCCTTATATTATGCTCCTTGCTACTCCAAGGGATCTGGCAGAAGTGATGGTAAATCGGAACTTCAGAAATGGTGGGAAATGTGCTGCTCAACTGTCCTGCCTCCTGCATTTAAAATTACAATCCTACACAAACTTATCTGCTTATAAGACTCATTAATTAGTCATTTTGAATATATATACAAAGGATTGTGCTTTTGGAACAGGTTTCATTTGCAGTCTTTTAGCTGTTGTTTACAGACTAAAATGTCTAAGAGATAAGACATCACTTTATTTATGTGGTTTCCTAATGTGTGAGAAATATAACCATAATGAATGGATGAACATGACTGAGAGAATGAAAAGCCTTGAAGTAACTAAGTCTGGTTGTTTTCCTTTTACTTAAAAACAGTTTCTTGAGCTATGTAATGGATTTTTTTTTTCATTCCTGTTGATATGAGATGGGTGTTGGCTGCCAGCTTTTTTTTATCACTTGTAATTCCATTAAGGAAACTGAGCGTACTGTAAAAGCTCCCTTATACACGCTAATTTTTTATTCCTTTTGGAAAGCAAGCTTACACCTTGTTGTGAAAAGGAAAATGTTTTGAATTCTAAATTTAGGACTGCCTATATGTTTTTGATAGTCTTACCTGTGGGTTGCACTTTTTATAATGGGAAGCTAACTCACCAGAACACAACAGGAAAGGCTACTAGGGCAGTGTTATATTGGGACTTTCTCAATTTTGGGGGGATAGTGAGGACATTTGAAATTTTTTGAGACTGTTACAGATATTACCGCAGAATGGCATCCTTGATGAACATAACCAATCACAATTACCAGTTCTTTCCTTCACTCTGTTATGGGCCTGCCTGATGGTAAGACTCAGAATTGGAGGAGCAGGGTCTGCCAGGTTCTCACCTTGCAGCTCAGGAGCCAGCGGCCTCCCAGATATCCATGGGATGAGGTTCAAAAGAGCAGAGCCTGTTGGAGGATGACCCTGCAGTTCTGGAGCAGTCAGGTAATCAGCCACCTACTGCAGAAGCACAGTGGTAGGCTGAGTCGCCTGATGTAGAGCCTGAACACAAAAAGATCCTCACATGTAGAAAGATCATGTGAGTACAGCCACTCCTTATTTAGCAGCTACTTTGCTTAGCGACTGTTTGCAAATATGACAGTAATAAAAAATTCCAACTAATGCGTGCATTTACAACCAAATTTTGTGTGCCTGAAACAAAAGCCTTCAGTGCAAAACTGATTCAGGCAACAGCACCAGCCAGCGGAGGGTTCTAGTCAACTAATTAAGATCACAGAGCTGAGTTTGTTAACTTGCGGTTAGCACTTTTTAGGGAAGTGCTGCACTGCAGAAAAAAATAGCTCAGGAAGAGATAGTTTGTCTAACCAATCTTTCAGTGCAAAACTGATTCAGGCAACAGCACCAGCCAGCGGAGGGTTCTAGTCAACTAATTAAGATCACAGAGCTGAGTTTGTTAACTTGCGGTTAGCACTTTTTAGGGAAGTGCTGCACTGCAGAAAAAACATAGCTCAGGAAGAGATAGTTTGTCTAACCAATCTCTATGTCCTGCGAGGAGGCAAAAAAAGGGGGGAGAAAGGGTCC